GAAGCCTCTACACAGATGCAGGCTGTATGTGTGGATGCACAATGACCACAAAGTAGAGTAAGAGGAAATTGTTGTTAAAAACAATACATGGATTGGTGGGCTGGCAAAGAATGTGGAAATGTACTAATCAATTTTGTTTGAATTTTTTTATTTTAATTGTGTGCTTGTGGACTTGAATTTCCAACAGTTAGTATGTTGAATTTAAAACACATTGCCTTATATACACTTTTAAATTTTGCACACATACACAAACAAATAGACAGAGAGAGAGAGAGAGAGACGCAGGGAGACAGAGACAGAGAGAGAGTGTGAGAGACAGTCACTGATTTCTCATAGGCAGACTGTGGGGAAAACTAATCAAAAAGAGCAACAGTGAATGCATTGAGTTATAAGTTATCCACATAATGATCCATTACTGAGCCTAGGATCAGCAGAATGTAGAGTATGGTTAAATTTAGTACTATATTCTACAATGGACCAAACTTTAAATTCCATAGGGCAACTCTGTGATGTAAGTTCCTTCCCTTCTTCTAGCCACTTTCCCATAGGAGAAACACTGAAGCTTCATGGCAAATAATATGTTAGTTAAATTTCTTTTTTCATTTGCATGATTTCAACTTGGATATGTCTCTAAAGAAAACAGGCATTACCTCTGACTTACCAGATTCCTCAAGCTAAATACATTTGAAATGAATATTCTTTTGACAAATAGATCACTACCAAACAGGTAACCTTCCTATCAAAAAAATACTGTGGAGCATGGTTCCAGTTGCAAGCATAATGAGTACACCATAAGCCATGCATGCATAATTGTATGCTTCAAACAGGCAGTGAGGTACATAATTGAATCATATAAAGATACAGGGACTCGCATGAAAATACATATGTCTAATTTGGAGTTGCAGAAGATGTACCTGAAAAAGCACACATTGAGGTTAGGTAATATATTTACCTAATTCAATGTACATGAAAAACTAGTGCAGAAGAAATGGAATAGCATGTTTCAATAAAAATTGGAAGGACATTACCTGAGACTCAAGATGTAGATTGAAACTGACTAAAGCTGACAGTGTCTAGTCAATTTCAATCTTGTGCAAATGTCACTGGTAACACCCCTCTGTTGCAGTTCTACTGCAACTGCTGAGTTGACCCTATGAAATAGGAGGAAGAGAGAGAAGAGGGAGGGAAAGTAGAGCACAAAAGGAAGGGAGGGAAAGAGAGAGAGAGAGAAATAAGGAAGGTAGAAACTAACAGATGTACAGAGTAAGACACACAAGGGATAAGGAAGGATGGAGAACAGGACAATACTTGCTAAACCCTCCCCACTTTAGCAGATTTTTAGATTGTTATTGTGGGTGAACCTGGGTTTAAAATAAACTTAAGTTAATTGTTAACAAGCTTCCTATATACTCTAGGTTGTTTTGTTTAATGGCTTACGGAACTAGCTAAGCTTAGTTTAAATCAGAATTCCTATTTTGCACACAATTTTACTCCTTTCTGCTTATTTACTAGCACTAAACTATGGTTTCATTCTAGAAATCTTTCAAACAATCTTTCACCATCTTTCAGTCTATAGGTCTATATGAACTAAAAAAATAGCCCCTTTAGCCACATAGCTTTCAACTATGTTCATTCAAATGCTAGACAACTAACTCTGTCATTATCACTGAATAGGATTAACTTGGATGTCATTTTGTAGAGAGAATGCTTAAACTCTTACTTAAAGAAAGAATGAAATAAAATAAATGTAATGACATAGAAAAAGATATACACAGAGAAATATACACACAATGACACATGGTAGGAGAGTCACCTCATATAGATTATAAATAATATTAATATTTTTTGTTGTTGTTTAGTTGTTAAGTCATGTCTGACTCCTCGTGACCCCGTGGACAGAGCATGCCAGGCCCTCCTCTCTTCCACTGCCTCCCGGAGTTGAATATTTACTTTCTATTAAAAGTTATTATTATAGAAACCAAGGAGGGAAACATTAATTCCCATATAAATGTTCCCTGAAGCACTCTTGCACACTGTTGGAATATTGTTGTAAAGTATTTTCCTCTTACCTGCCATCTTGGAACTTCATCTCCACATTCCTTCTAATGCATCTCTTCTTTTAGCTATGATTATCATAATAATCAGAATTCCCACAGCCTGCCTAAGGTTTCCTCCAGGTTATTACCCCAAGACTTTGAAATATATTCCTATATTCCATTTTTTAGACCTCAACTCATAGCTAGACCAATGCCATCCCATATGTAGGTTAAGCAATTATTCCTTTTTTCCAGTTCATAATTCATTGTTTCCCCTGAAAACTGCAATTTAGCAATCCCCCAAAATTCATTGTTTCTCCCTGAAAACTGCAATTTAGCAGTTCGAAAGCATGCAAATGCAAGTGGATAAATAGGTACCACCTTGGTGGGAAGGTAGTGGCATTCCGTGTCTAGTCACGCTGGCCATGTGACCATGGAAGATTGTCTTCAGACAAAACGCTAGCTCCATGGGTTGGAAACGGAGATGAGCACCACTCCCTTGAGTCGGACACAACTGGACAAATTGTCAAAGGGAACCTTTACCTTTACCTTTACCAATGTTCTTACTATTTTTAAACCTTAACTGGTGAGCTATAATATGAGAGCAGAAGCTCTTTCCATACACACTGCCACCACTATTTATAGGTATAAATGTGAAGATGGTAGTTATATCCTCCTCTAGCCATTCCGAGCAACAAAATATGTTTTTTTTTTCATTATGGAACTTCTAGAAAAAAACAAAAACTGCTTTTAAAATGCTGTAGATTTTTCATTAGGATCAATATGAATGAGAAAACAAAGGACCACTAGAGGGTGCAGCAAGGATAACAGGAAGAAAACTCATCACCTACTACTTCAAAATAGGAGAAGGTATGTGAACAACTCACACATTGTTTATTCACATTTTTTATCCAAGGATGGAAAATAACAGGCCAGGTTTTCTAGGCTAACTCCTAACTCCTAATTTTAAAAACAGAAAATTTTATTCATAGGAATAAACCAGTCTATTAAAATCTGTCTACATACCTTTTGTCTGTTCTTTCTCAAAAAATTGAAAAGAAATGGATTCAGTCTTCAAACAGGCACTTTCAGTTATGTTTGTTGCTATGCTTATTACGGGCTTTTTTCTAATGAAAGAACCCTATTACCTTCAATTAATCCTGTCATGTCTTGCAAGTTTTCTTAAAAACAGAAACCCTGTACAGTGGTACTTTGACTTACGAACTTAATCCATTTTGGAAAGGCATTCGTACATCGAAAAGTTTGTAAGTCGAAGTACCATTTTCCATTGAAATGCATGGGAACGGAATTAATCCTTTCCAGCATTTAAAAAAATTACCTTCGGAGGTCTCAAAGGGCTTCCTCCGATGTCAGAGGAAGCCCTTTGAGAGCTCTGAAGGGAAAAAGGCAGGGAGAAAGGGGTGGAAATTCAAATTTCCCACCCTTTCTCCCTGCCCTTTTGACTTCAGAACTCTCAAAGGGCTTTCTGCCCGACATCGGAGGAAGCCCTTTGAGAGCTCCAAAGGCGATGAATGGCTCCATTCACAAAAAATGGCATTGACTTGCAAATGGAGCCTCGACTTCATTCATAGGTTGAGACTCTGTTCACAAGTCGATGCCAATTTTTGCGAATGGAGCCATTCGTAAATCAAAAAGTTCATATGTAGGGACATTCATAAGTTGGCTGTACTTCTAGAACTCTCTGGAAAACAATTCTACTGATGGTATGTGTTTCATGAATATTTTCCTCTAAGGGATCCAAAGGAATTAAATGGTAGAAAGGAAGTGGTAGGAAGAACTCCTAGATTGTTAATTTTCTTCCCAGTGTATGGTGAGAAAATACTATAAGTTTGCGTTGGAGAGCAGTATCTATATTATATTTCAGGCAGCAATCAACTTTTTTTCCTGATAAAGACAGATTACAGTATATAGCCTGGGATTTTTTATACATACAGGACAGACCAGGTGGGTGAATCACGTAAAACTACTTTTGCAATCTCAAAGGTCCTAATCCCCTCCCCCAATCTTCAGGAAATGTGACTCAGCTCTAGAGCAACACATACTGTAAGGTCTTCCCTTAGTACCAGGGACTAAACTGAGAGTGAACTTCAAGTCACTTCGTTTTTTAAAAAATGTGGAAAACACCATGTTTTTCAGTTTATAAGACAACCCCCCTTTCTAACCCCAAATTAGAAAAAACAGGGACCAAGGGTTCCCTTTTTGCTAAGCCTGGTGCCTTCGCAAAATGCAAGGAAAATGGCTGTCAAAGTGACCGCCGCTTTTCCTTGCCTTTTGAGAAGGCATGGGGCATAGCAAAAAGGATGGGGAGATGTTTCTCACTTCCTTTTTGCTATGCTCCATGCCTTCTCAAAAGGCAAGGAAAAGCGGTGGTCACTTTGACAGCCATTTTCCTTGCATTTTGCGAAGGCACCAGGCTTAGCAAAAAGGGAGCCCTTGGTCCCTGTTTTTTCTAATTTGGGGTTAGAAAGGGGGGTTGTCTTATAAACTGAAAAACATGGTGTTTTCCACATTTTTTAAAAAACGAAGTGACTTGAAGTTCACTCTCAGTTTAGTCCCTGGTACTAAGGGAAGACCTTACAGTATGTGTTGCTCTAGAGCTGAGTCACATTTCCTGAAGATTGGGGGAGGGGATTAGGACCTTTGAGATTGCAAAAGTAGTTTTACGTGATTCACCCACCTGGTCTGTCCTGTATGTATAAAAAATCCCAGGCTATATACTGTAATCTGTCTTTATCAGGAAAAAAAGTTGATTTAAAAAGAAACAGCACTTATGGAGATATTAGCAACATGGTGTCATGTTTGTTATTTTAAAATTCTAAAATTTAGTGAATTACTGGTGTGGTATAAAGGAGCTCAATGAATCCCTCAATATATCTGTAAGAACAAATCAATGCTTACTTGTGAAATTCTGGAGATATAAGCAAAAATATTTAATAATGTCACCTGTTCATTCACTCTGGAATGTGATGGCCCATGGTGGATTAGAATCTTCACAATCTCCACATCTCCTTTCCAGGCAGCCAAGTGTATAGGAAAATACCCTTTATTATCTGCCACATTGGTGGATGCTTCATATTGAAGTAACTTGATAACTACATCCCTGAAAAACATTTAAAGAAAAGAAACTAAGGATTGACAAAATGATTCCTTTCTTCTTAGATATATATAAAATTCATTTTCCATTAGATCAGGGAAGATCATGTGGAAGGGGATTTGGAACAAGGTACTGGGGTAAATAAAAAATAGAGAATGTGGTAGAGAACAATATATATTATTATTACTTTTACTGATATGTTTTATTACTAAGCTTACTTCACACTAATCTTGTCAATTTTTTCTAAGCCTTTAAGATCTAAAATTATATTTTATATCTTTCTTATAATTTTAACCCATGCATGTTCTCATATCTCGTCCAATTATACAAAGGTTGCCATTTTTTTTTCTAGCCTCAACTATTTCTTTGCCTTTTAATACTTCAGTTAAAATATCCATCTCTGCTGCTTTGAAATAAAATTCTGTTAACTCCTGGATTGTTGGAGTCTCCTCTTTTTTTCCAGTATTTGGCATATAAAACTCTTGCTGCTGTAGTTACTTGTATGATCAACTATCTTTTTTCTTTTTCTATTGAATCTGGTATTATATTCGGCAAAAACAGTTCACATTTGTATGTTTGGTCTGCTGGCAAACCCTGCTTCATCAGCACAGGCCGCCATTGCCTCCTTCCCAGGATATCGCGAGATGTTGTAAGTCTCATAAGAGTGACCCGGGAAAGGAGGGGGGAAGGAGTTGTTATTTAAGAGATGTTCCCCCCTCCCTTTGGCCTCTTCCTTGCTGGCATCAGAAGGAGGATGGAGCTCTGCTATCTGGCTATCTATTTCGGCTGCGTAGCTGCAGTTTGGCTGGGCGATTTATGGATTGGAGGGGGGTTGCATTGGCAACCCACACACACACAGTTTGCTCCTGAGTCAGCTCCAGAATTTTGGAGCTGCTTATCAAAGGACTTGAAGATTAATTTTAAATTGATTTTAATTTAATTATATTTAACTTGGAGTTCACATTTGAAGCAGGAGCAGGTTTGGAGTAGCCCTGCCACTTGGGTGTGACCAGGCAGTTGCCTGTGTGCCCATTGAGCTTGGCGAAGGCCACTGTATTATTAGTAATAACAATCAGTAATAATTAATTCATTTCTGTTGAATTCATTTGATGTTCTGGGCAAAAAAAGAGGGTGAAAAAAGGAAACAGTGAATTCTTATCATTAGAGGCAAGCAGGCTGGCCTGCTCAGTGAGTGGGTGCACATCCCTCCCGGACAGCAGACGTAGGTTGAAGGTGCCTGCACTTAAGAGTATAATAATAGCATAAATATAAATCCTAAATAAATTCAGTATAATCATTTGATGGGGTAAATCAATTCAGGTTATTTTAGTAATAATTAATTGCTTTTCATATTATAGATAAAGGTAAATTTGATTTGGTCACTTTTGGAAGCAGGACTAATTAACCTAGTGGGTCCAAACAATATAAAAAAATTAATTAAAAGAGAAGGGAGATAGTAGGTTGATACATTATACAGTGGTGCCTCGCAAGACGAGCACTCAGTTTAACGATGAATCCGCATTACGATGAGGTTTTTGCGATCGCAAAAGCGATGGCAAAATGACGTTTTGAATGGGGGAATTTCACTGCTCGATGATCAGTTCCCTGTTTCGGGAACCGATTTTTGCTTCCCGACTATCAAAACAGCTGATAGTTGGGTTTTCAAAATGGCCGCCGGGTGCTCAAAATGGCTCCTTGCTGTGTTTAGGAGCCATTTTTCGCTGCACAGGCATCCGAAAATGGCTGCCCCTATGGAGGATCTTCGCTGGACAGTGAGTTCTTAGCCGATTGGAATGCATTAACCAGGTTTTAATGCGTTTCAATGGCTTTTTTATTTTCGCTTTACGATGTTTTCGTTCTACAGCGATTTCGCTGGAACGAATTAACGTCGTAATGCGAGGTACCACTGTAATATTAATACTTATATATTTAATTATTAATTAAATAATTATAAAAAATTTATTCATACAATAAGCTAAATTAAATAGATAAAATAATTAAGTTGAGTCAGGTAGAAGAAAGCTACTGGAAGAAGATGATAGGGAAGACGTGTGGCAGTGCAGAGGAGGCAGCCATAGGAGGCTTGCTCATGGGGCTCTAGCAAGTATTTACATTGATTGCATTGCTCCTTAACATATTGCTGGACGCTTGTTGGGGTGCTTTTAATAATAATTTATTGTTAGTATTAACTAACCATTCTAAAGGAAATGAACCCTGAGTGCTCACTGGAAGAACAGATCCTGAAGCTGAGGCTCCAATACTTGGCCATCTCATGAGAAAAGAAGACTCCCTGGAAAAGACCCTGATATTAGGAAAGTGTGAAGGCAGGAGGAGAAGGGGACGACAGAGGATGAGATGGTTGGACAGTGTCATTGAAGCGACCAACATGAATTTGACCCAACTCCAGGAGGTAGTAGAAGACAAGGGGGCCTGGCATGCTCTGGTCCATGAGGTCACGAAGAATTGGACATGACTAAATGACTAAACAACAACAACAATTGTTAGTATTCACCTCCAGGTAAGTAGAGTTGATTGAGAGTAGCCAATTAGCAAAATAAAGTATAAAGGGCTGAGCTTCCGTGGTTAAAATGGATTCCAGAAAGGGCCAAGGTAATAAGAAGAGAAAGCAGCCTGCTAAGAAGCGGGCAGCTCCTCAAGTCTCACCTCCTCTTTCATCCTCAGATGAGGAGACTTAGCCTATTTGGCAACAGCTGCAGGAAAAGATTTCAGCCTTGGAGGCTGAAAGAACAGCACAAAGAGTTTCACATAGTGAGTCTCAACTGTGCCATTCAGCAAGAGAGGCCAAGAGACATAGGAGAGCTAAGCCTAAAGCCATGGGAGAAATTTAATGTCCCACTTTGCTGCTTTAGAGGCTGATTAACAAGCTACGGGGCCTTCCAGAAGAGATTCTGATGCATCAACAGTGACACCTCAGCGTCAGAGTGAGGACGAGGAGCAAGGACCGACAAACCAAGGCCGACGCTGCCGAACGAAGTCATCGGCAGCGGCTAGAGTTTGGCAGGAGGGAGTGGAAGAGTTGGCTACAGGTTATGGGCAGGGAAGGGGTGAGCATGATACAACAGCACCTATAGCTTCAAGTGAGCTGGCGGTTGCACCAGACACCATCCTGATACTGCCTGCTTGGCCATGGCACACATTGAGGTTCAGTAATATATTTACCTAATTCAATGTACATGAAAAACTAATGCAGAAGAAATGGAATAACATGTTTCAATAAAAATTAGAAGGACATTACAGTTTGAAACTGACTAAAGCTGACAGTGTCTAGTCAATTTCAATCTTGTGCAAATGTCACTGGTAACACCCCTCTGTTGCAGTTCTACTGCAACTGCTGAGTTGACCCTATGAAATAGGAGGAAGAGAGAGAAGAGGGAGGGAAAGTAGAGCACAAAAGGAAGGGAGGGAAAGAGAGAGCTTACCTTCACACATGACACACGATATACAAGGGTTTAGGGCCCCAGCCAATCCCTGGCCAGGTACAAGCATGCCAGTAAGGAACTAGGCAGCTCCCTATCCACAAATTACATTTCCAATAGCAGTGGGTTCAACATCTGGTGTGGGGGTTTGGCCTTACCCATTAGTACCTGACACAAGATACAACTCTGTCCCTTTAAAGGCTCTTCCTTTTGGGGATCATGCCATACTGTTGGGTGATCACCTTACTCCAGCTACTAAAGAAATTTACTGAGAGGTAACTATGTGGATTTATTTCAGCTCCTTAACAGAAATTTAGATTAAAAAAGAGCTTGATAAAGAGGATGAAAGGGAGAAAGAAAAAGGTAGGAGGCATTGGCTGGAGTGGCCATGGGCAAATTGGGTGTCCGGCTTCCTAATTTATGCTTGGGTGGTTGTGAAGGCACAACCTTGGAGAGCTCAGTCTATGTTTCAGTACCTTGACCTGATCTACAGGGCATACATAGACTTCACAGGACAGGCTTGGTTGCTTTACGATGAATCATTCTATATGAGAGTGTGATTCATCCGAATGCATTTTGGGATGAGACTTTACCAGGTCTCTGGCTGCAATATATGATACCAGCCAGGCCAAACTCAGGTGACAGGTTTGACTGTGGGCATTTAATTCACAGAGCTGGACAAAATTTGAATCCCCGTGTAGGCACGCGGCAGCAAGTTCAACCTCACTTGCTCTACTGGGACTATAATGCAAAAGGCATGTGTTCACGGAAAGCATGCCATTTTAGGTATGAATGCTCGGTGTGTGGTGGTCAACACACAAGTGCATTGTGCTTCAGGGTAGAACACAGAAGAACAACAGCAAAGTTTCTGGAGGGAGCAAAAAGCAAATGGTGGGGGAGTCCCTTAACAAAGGGCCCCAGCCCAATTAAGGTTCTGGTCTTAGAGATCTGGTTGCAGGACTAGCCCAAAGGGACAGACGCAGCTTACCTCTTGGAGGGTTTTAAGAAGGGTTTTAGGATACTGGCGTTAGGGGAACACAAGTAGTTTTTTTGCAAAAAAAATGAAATTAGTAAATGTAATGGAAGGCATAGTCGGGAAAAAATGGAAAGGAAGTTAAAGAAGATAGAGTGTTGGGTCCTTTTCCTAACACCCCACTGAAGAATCTTTGGGTGTCGCCACTGGGTGTGGTGCCCAAAAAGAACCAGGGAGAGTTTAGGCTTATCCATCATCTGTCATACTCAGAGGTGGAGTAAGTTAATGACACCATTCCTCTTGAATTGTGCACAGTGCATTATATCTCATTTGACAAGGCGGTATGGATGGTCCGTAGGCATGAAGTAGGGGCAGAGCTTTTGAAATACGACATTAAATCAGCGTTTTGTATTCTACCAGTTCATCCACAGGATTTCGACATATTGGGCTTTCATTTCCAAGGATCTTATTACATTGATAGGGCCTTGCCTATGGGCTGTTGTGTATCATGCACTGCATTTGAACATTTCAGTTCATGTTTTGAATGGAAGCTCAGATGTAGGGTAGGCTGCAAGAACACAGTCCATTATTTGGATGATTACCATTTTTGTGGTGAAAGTAAAATCAGGAGATGCACATTTATTCTTGAAGCATTCCAATCAATGGCATGTGAGCTGGGTTTACCCTTAGCTGAGGAAAAAAACGAGGGGCCAGCCATTTCCCTTATGCTTCTGGGAATAGAGCTGGACACACAAAAGCAGGCTTCCAGATTACCAGACAGGAAGTGAAAAACCTTAAGGTTTGGATCTGTTTAATACTACAGAAAAGAAGAGTGTCACTGAAAGAACTGCAGGAGATTGTAAGTCACCTGAATTTTGCATGTAGGATGGTTTTGCCAGGTCATGCATTCCTGCGCATGTTATGTGACCCAATGAAAGACGTATGCTGCCCCTTCCACAGAATGAGAGTTACGAAGGGTATGAGACAGGATTTACAGGTCTGGAGTCAATTTTTAGTTGAGTTTAACGGGGTCTGTTTTTGGAGGTCCGAGACAAACCTTAGGGCCAAATTCTGGGTCCAGATTGATGCAGCTGGCTCCTTAGGTTTGGGGATTTATTTTAAAGACAGATGGTGCGCTGAGTGATGGCCCAAGCAATGGCACCAGTTAGGGATCACAAGAGACCTCACTTTCCTGGAATTTTTTCTGATAGTAGGCGCTCTGTGCCTGTGGGCGCATGAATAGGCCAATTCAGGAGTATGCTTCTGGTGTGACAATCAGGCAGTGGTTTACACCATAAGCAACCTCACCTCACACTCTGAATGTGTGATGGTGCTGGTATGTATATTTAAACTTTGCGCTTTGGAATATAACATTTTGATCCAAGCAAAGCACATTCCTGGCCTTGATAACAGTTTAGCTGATGCACTATCATGCCAACAGATAAACTGATTCAGGGAATTAGCACCAGGAGCTAGCAAATCCAGAGACTCTTCCCCCAGATGGCAAATTGGCGTGATGACACAGAAAGAGCAATAGGTTTGACCCTGGCCCTGAGGATGAGGAAAGGGTATTCAGCAATGAGTATAGATTTCAGGAGTTCAGAAACCTAGTAGGTTTGGAGCTGATATGGCCTGTTCTGGCAGAACATCTTCAACAGTATATAGTGTATTTACATAAGAAAGGCCTGTCACCAGGATCTATATAGGACAGGATGTCAACACTGCCTTTCATGCCAGAGTCTAAGGGTATCAGGATTATACCTCTGACTTTCGTATCAGGAAGATGATCAAAGGCTGGAGTAAAGGAAGGGGTAAGGTTAAGGACACAGGGGCACCCATATCCTGTACCCATAGATGTTTTGGTTCTAGGACTGTTTTCCTGTTTTCTGAATTATTGTTTTATATTGTTACTTTCACTTTTCCTTTAAGATAAACTTTACAAACCCTTTGATGCTGGTGTCCGAATGGTGACTGAGAGAAGAAGTATTGTAGTAATTTTCCAGTCCTTGCCTCAGTTAAACTATTGAATTGGCAAGATTTATGTCAATGAGAGCTTCCGCCAGCCTAATAAAGTTCGAAGCATTGAAAACCTGGATCATGCAGCCTATGCAGGTGGAAAGCTTGTTGGGATAAAAGGATCCTCTCCAGATTAAAACTCCTCCCAGCTTTTAACTACACCAAAGCAACATTCAGATCTAGTCCAGTTCCTACTGGTCTGAAAATTTAATTCCCATCCATTATACATAAGAGTAGATAAATAGCTATTAGAAAGAAAGAAAGAAAGAAAGAAAGAAAGAAAGAAAGAAAGAAAGAAAGAAAGAAAGAAAGAAAGAAAGAAAGAAAGAAAGAAAGGTAAGAGAGATGAAGAGAGGAAGAGCTGAAATGTCTCTGCTCCTTCTCTCCACCCCACCACCCCGCTAGCAGAAGCCTGATGGGGCACTGGATGTGCTGAATGTTCTGACCTCAAACATTCTGAAACCATTCATAGGATTGCACTGGATAGATGGGATGCAAAAAAGGTAAAATCATATCAAATGAATAGATTATTCAAAAACTAAGTGGTGCTGCCATGCAACAAAACAAACAAGATAAAATGAAGCACAGTGATTTCGCTAGATCTTATAATCCAAAATAAAATCAGCTTCCTTTTGAATTCCTATTGTTGAGCAGAAAGTGTTGGAAAAGTCGCCTATGTCACACATACTTAATATTGTTAAGATTTTTAAAAACACAGTGGGCTTAAACCAGCTCCTTGTGGCAGAATATTTTTAAAGATGAACAGGTTCTACATGGGTTACTATAAAGAAGAATCATTATAAACCATTGCATCCTTGGAAGGAACTCCTCACTGGCACAGTCCAGTCTAGATAGACTGTGTCATGAAAATAAGGTAGTATTCTTTTCAGATACAACAAAATCATAGGGTTTTTTTTTCAATCTTTTAGAGATATTGCAAATATATCTGCATATAGGTTTGTAGCCACCTAGAGTGGTCTTATAGACCAGATGGGCGGGGTACAAATCAAACAAACAAACAAACAAACAAACAAATACTGACATGAATGGTGAATGATGGGTTTTGTTTGACAGTGGTTAGTTAGCTATGGGCTATGTTCTGAAGTACAATAGAATGTTTGTGGATGGAACTGTGTCCTGATTGGTTGGAATGATACTTGGCTGTAGAGATGCTGTTACAAAGGGAGATATGTGTGTGAAAGATGACAGAGTTAAGTCACAAATGAGAGAAATGGGAGGAATTGAAAGGGTGAGAGGTGTGAGGTAGTAAACAGTTGTACAGTAAGTAAAATATGAGATGTATTTTTCTTTGAAAAAGTCATGAAGTTGTTTTGATGTACAATAGAATGTTTGTAAATGGAACTGTGTGCTGACTGGCTGGAATGTTTAAGTTCCTGCTGGAACTTTTGTAAAAAAAAATTATCATTCATCTATACATACATAAAGGACTAAATGGGTTAAACTACAAAGAAGGATGGAAGGAAAATAAAGGGCTTTTGACTGATAAAGGAATTGACATGCTATAAATATGAACATTATATTCTTGTGTGTGTGTGTGAATAAACTTCTCTTTATTCAAACACTGTTTTATTATTTTTGAAACAGCAATCACAAGGCATTATACCATGCATACCACTGGCCAGTGCTGGGACACACAGTCAATTTAGTGTCAACAACATAACAAAAGTTATATGTTGGTTTCAGAAACATTCTTTAAAAGGGGGATGGGGGCAATGTTCAATTAGCCCTTACCTGTGGTAACATTTAAACAGCAATATAAAGGTAATACTGGCTGTTCAGTTGGTTTAAGGAGATAATTCAAGAGGAAGAGTCCTTATTTACATGATAAATGGGGCCCCAAACTGAGTCATTTTGGTAGCAACACACACTAAATAAGGGGGTGTGAGTATCACTACAGGTGTCTCTGAGGCAGAATGTTCATTTTGGAACATTCTCAAGCTGAGACAACTTTAGATGGGAAACTCACTCTAGGCACATGCATTGAAGATGCACAAGATGAAACAACAAGGCACTACTGTGGGTCCCTGCCCCCTTAGTTCCTAAACAACTTTTTCTCAAAGGGAGATTTATGAGAGTTTTAATTAATTCACTTAGACCTGTCCGGACAGATTTAATTTTTAGAGTTATTGTTGCTGGTTTAAATGTTTCTGTTTTAATTTTTATTTCCTATTATATGTGTTGTAACCTGCCCACAGTAGTGCTGTGACACTAATGGGAGCAGGATACAAACTGAATAAAAATAAAATAAAATAAATAATTAGCTGCGGTTGACATAGGTCCAAGACATACCTGGTAGGCCTTGCTTCTTTGGTCATATTCAGGATGAACATCATCAGGTGAGAGATATTCATAAAATCTTGACTAGAATCTTAACCAATGGTGATTACTGAAGTATTTTCTGCTATGGAAGTGCCATCTTATTTCGAGCACTCATAAGGATTTAATCCTCAGTATTGTGCAAACTGTTCAGAACAATAGTGCCCTCGCCATGTTGTAACAGGTACTTTCTCCACCTGGAAATTCTCGATCAGATAACACTCATTGGTTACAAGGGAGCTGGATAAATAAAGCTGTTTTGCTATTACTGTATTGTCACCACAGAGTAGGGCCTAAATTAGACTTTAAAGTGTGTTTTACTTATGCGTGTGTTTGAGTGTGCATGCCTGCGTATGTGTGTTAACTTTAATTGACTTACATTTCCCTTTAAAAGGAAGGCAGGATGTAACATTGTAGAATAAATATACAGATCTTCTCCAAAACAAATTTATTTTGTACATCAATGGGTGAGAGAAGAAGAGGAAGAGAGAAAGAGGGTGATAGTGAGATGACTGCTTCTACAGCACAGGAGGCATAAGCATTTTAAGCAGAGCTTAGAAATGTGACTTTAGAACATTTTCTAAAATTCCCTGGCCACCTTAAATGGGCATTCTGGGAGCTAATGTCCAGAAAGATAATTTGCCCAAGCTATAATTTTAAGTAGGATGTTTTAAAATTAAAATCTTGGTGGGCATATAAAAATATGACATTTTCTTCACTTCATACAGGCTAATATCAGCATAAGCAAGTATCATAAAGTAATATCAACTTCATATCAATAGCCATCTGGCACTTACTTGTGACCATTCAAAGCTGCATGATGTAAAGCAGTGTACCCCGAACTATCCGTGCAGTTTATATTTGGTCCACGCCAGATGCTGAAAATAAAACACAAATCCCATTGTACCATTGTGGTTTGGGTCAGCAAGCCAGTTTTTAAAAACTGTTTTAAGTATTAATATTAAATAAATTCACAAATCAAAGACACTAGTTATAGTTATTAGATATAGAAAAGAACATTGATATATTTTCTAATTTTTCTCACCTGAAGACAAAGAATGACGCTAAAATGGGAAAAGCATGAAGTTAAATGATTAGCATTTTAAAAAAAAAACTGAGCAATAAGGAAAGCCCAATTAAATCAGGAAAATCTGAGACAAGAGGACTAAATCACTTTATCGTTTATTATGAGAGCCTGTTGATAAAGCACACTCACGTGAAAAACACCTTTGAAGGATGACCATGTATTTATTTGGTAAATGTCAATGCCACCTTTTCCCAGCAGGAGAACTCAATGTGACTCACTAATCACAGGCAAGAATTAAAAACAATATATAAACAAAAATTAAAAATTAAATAAGAAATTATTAAAATCATCATAATGTAAGCACAAATTAAGATGTATGAAATTATTTTAAAACCCATTTAAAAGGACACAGCTTTCATCAAAGAACCTGGCACACACATCTAGCCATGGGTTTTGGAATGTTTTTTTTTTTTCCTGCACCATTCCAGCTCCATAACATCCAGCCTGACAGGACTTGTGCAGAGCTGAAAGTTATCCTCTGTGTGTGAGATTTTAGTGGTTGATAAAAGTATCACCCAACCTTGTCTTTGGATTGTGTACATGGTCCACAAGGCTTTTTTTCTTTTTCTTTTTCATTATTACATTGACTAATTATTTAACTAGAGTGCTCAAATATTATCCAATCTCACTTGCATCCAAATATTTGCCATACAAACTGGAACCGGCTCACAGCTTTCTGAAAGTATTTGTAGGTATTTTTATATTTCAGGATCAGGAGGAAGAAAAACACAGCAAAATGGAAAAGAAAGGTTATGATCAGAGATGTGGGGATTTGATTCACACTATAATCAACTTTCAAAATGTGGGTGGAGTTCGGATTGTAGACAAAACTCCTATCAGCTAATTAGCTAGCCAGCTTCTTTCCTTTTGATTAGGTCAGTCTGAACCCTCCCCAGCACTCAGTGATTTGAGTTTTCAGGAGAGGTTTTGCCTTTCATTCCTACTTCACTGTCAGTTTCCATTGATTTTGGAATGTCCTTCCTCCATCAAAGCAACTCTTACCAAGTATTTTTGCTCAAATCCCAACATTTTAAACACAAACACTGTGATTCTAGGGGTGCCCTCACCAATCCAAACATGACAGCAGACTTGCTGAACTGTCCTACGACTATTCTGGAAATATCCCTGTTTTGCCCCTGTGCGGATGACAGCAACCTAAAGGGACTGACTGTCTTTGGAAGAGCAGGGGCAGAAAGGACAAGAAAAGAATGAACCACCAGAGGGTGTCATTTCTGTAGGAAAGGGAGAGGAGATACATAAAAGGAAAGGAGAAAGGGGGAAGGGGTCGGTTACACTGAGGAAGGAGAAAGGTCTTGGGTGGTGGAGGAGGAGGAGAGAAAGAAGGATTGGGTGGAGATAGTACAGGAGGACCCCTGGACAGGGGAGTGGATGGAGTTTAAAGTCCCAAGGGAGTATGCTGAGAAGACCTCAGAAAGCCACCTTACTGGGGTGAGACAGAAGAAAGAGAATGAAGGAGACAGTTGAGAGGGGAGTATGCTGAGAAGACCTTAGAAAGCCACCTTACTGGGGTGAGACAGAAGAAAGAGAATGAAGGAGACAGTTGAGAGAGTGGTAGCAGCGGGAGACACAAAGAAGGGAGAACAAGCCATGGCCAGACCGTCCTGGGAAACCCTGTAGGACAAGCCCATTCAGACTGTGGGAGCCACAGGTGGGCTGGGTTTTCCACCCTCCCCAATAAGATCAGCTATAGTTGTACAGATAGATCAGGCATTTCACTGAGGTGGTGTTACAGAGACATGAGTTCTGGTCCTATGCGGATAGAAGGGGATTTGTCATGGTTCAATAATAATGAAAAAGGTGCAACGTCCCTGAAGCAAGAGACAGAGTTTGTTGTTAATGTTGAATTGAGCGAGTAGTCAAAGAATAAAGGGTTTTTGTTAGAAACTGCTGATGTCCCCGAGTCATCTCTCCCGCAAGATAAAAATAAGGGAGAAAAGGGAATTACACCAGATCACAGCCCCTTTTTGACATTTTTTCCGAAGCCAGTGCACATGCCTATTTTTTACAAACTACACATATCTTCCCTGAAATTCTGATATGACCCTTTAGAGAAATGTGGCACACTGGATGAAATTCACTACTGCAGTCATGTATATTGCTTTTATGTATCATTTTGTGCTATTTATTTTATTGACACTGGATATCACTTTGAAATCTCTAGAGCTGCACAACTTATACTAAACTTTGTCTACCAATTACTTCTTCTTTATTCATGAATAAGGTGAATTGGTAGACAAAGTTTATCACACACTATGTTTAAAATAAGTAAAAATTATAAATAAAATGTTCTTTATCCACACTGAACAGTATAATAGTAATTACATGTCATCAACATGACTATCCCCAGGATTTTCTAATTATATAGTACTCAAAAGTTGTTTACTATTTCCTTCTTCTGGAGGCACTCCATGACTGTGCAGCTTGCCCAAGACTACACAGATTGACTCTTTTTCTACAGGATACAGTGGTGAATCAAACTCCAGATCCTGTGCTCTACCTCACTGAGGTAGCCAGCCAGTGGATAGTAGTATAGCAATACATCTATTTTACATGGAAAATAGATATTAACAACTTTTTTCCAGATTTACAATATCCTTACTATCAAATTGTCAAAAATTGGGAATAAATGATGGGGAAAGGGTTTGAATGGCTGAAAACTCATTCTGATGCTACAGCTTTCAAAGAGTAATTTGAGGTGTGGAGATCTTGTACAGAAATAGCTGAAGAAAGGCCATAGAAATAATTATACATGATACTAAATGAGCAAACAAATATCTGTGTCTCATGATCTGGCTAACTACCTAATAACCAACTCATCTACTTCCATGTCTAAAAGGTGTGACTGCAGCCATTTTCTAGCTACTTTCCTGTATAACTTCAAAAGATGAGCAAGAAAATAAAATACCGTCCCATGAAACAGATAGAAAAGATTGTCTTTTCTGCAAAACAGATAGTTATGCTGTGAAGGGGCTTTCTTCTTTAGAATGGTCTTTCAGGAAAAAATGGTTATGAGCTGAATGTCTCAAGAATGGAACAGATGTCTAAATGTGTATCTCATAGAAGTCCAAAGTGGCAATTTGATCTCAGAGGAAACAAAATGATGGCTGAAATCCTGTGGCTTAGTGTAGTAAGTCGATTGTTCCAACCTTCCTCCATCCTCCTCTGCTGCTTCTTCCTTCCAAGCCCAGACACCTATCCAACGCCGCCAAGCTTTCCATTGACCTGCTAAGAAAAACAAGCAATATCTTTGACTGTCTTCCCTTGAATCCGCTCCTTGAACAACCCCATAATCCCCGACTAGCCCCCTTTTTCCACAAGTGGTCCATCATTACCAAGGACAATTGGGTTCTCGCCATTATACGTTATGGTTACCTGTTGGCGTTCATGGAGCTCCCTCCCATCGGTTGCATCAGGTCTACGACTTACTCACCTGCCCTAGAAAATGAGGTATCTCTCCTGCAGAAACATGTTATTCAACGGGTAGCTTCCCAAGATGTACTTGGACTTACTGAGGTTCAAGGTGGAGAAGAGCTTTTTGCACAAATATGTGCTCCCCAAAAAACATTTGGGAAAAGCTCAGGGAAGCTGGAGGTCAATTCTTTCAAAAATTGCCCAAGCTTATTTGCTTTTCCACTCACCTCCCTGAACTTCGCTTTGAGTTCAGAGTTGCACTGCAGGTCAGTGAGGTCCATTTGAAGCACAGGAGGGGCATCTTGCACATCAAAGCAAAAATTTGAAATGTGGCTCTGTGTGTCCAGAAAGGGGGCCCTCTCCCTGCCCGGCAGTCTTCTCCCTCAGGGGTTTGGCGCCACCAGGGCTTCCGCTTTTAGGTGTCTCTCTTTCTCCCCCCCCCACTCTTCGTGGGTCACCTGGCGAGGCTGCTGCTGCTGTCGCCTCATCCTCTCTGCACTTCTCCTTCCCCCCGCCTGGTGCTCCTCCACTCCCTGTACGCGCACACACCCTAGCAGCTGCATGCACCCCTTCTGCAAGGCTGGCCCGATTAGCAGAGTAATCTCTTCCCCGCTACCCAAGGGCTAATGGGGCTTCCTGGGGCTTCTTGACTCCCACTCTGGCAAGATGCCATAGTCTTGCCCAGTGTGGCTCAGGGAGACTGAGGGGAGGGGAGTGTGGTGAGAAGGATGTTCTCTTGGCAGCACCCCCTCCGGCGGCATGTCTGGGCAGGGAGTGGAGGAGCGCCAGGTCGGGGGGAAGGAGAAGCACAGAGAGGACGAGGCAATAGCAGCAGCTGCCTCACCAGGTGACCCACAAAGAGCGGGGGGGAGAGAGACAGAGACTTAAAAGCAGAAGTCCCAGTGGCTCCAAACCCCTGAGGGAGAAGACTGCCGGGCAGAGAGAGGGCTCCCCTTCTGGATGCGTGGGTGCTTCAGGGGCAGGTGGGACCCAGCCCCTACGAGGCGAGGAGGAAGCCCCACGCTTGCCAAGTAGGTGTCACTGCCGCTTCTCCCGCTCCTTAAACTTTCATATTAAGGCGAGGGGCACAAACTATCACCCCGCCGGCCACAATTGGACCCCGGGCCGCATGTTGGAGACCCCTGGGTTAACAATTCTTTCAAATAGAAATACTTTTTTCCAACTGTTCTAATTGCTGTTTCAGAAGTTTATATTTAGACATGTTAGAAATTAATTCTTAATTTATTAATGGGGTGGAAGGAATAAAATTGCACTATTGATTTACTGTAAACATCCAAACAGAGATTATATAGGAATACCATACTTAAATCTTTATTATTTAGCACACCAGATAAGGTA